TGAGCTAGTCACATGTACTCTGGCCTTGCTCGGTATTTCCAACCTTGTTCTAAGAACACTCAGAGGACAATGAGACACTGTAGCGCTGTCCCAGAAGAGTAGGGGTTAGGGAGAAAGGCAAGCAGCTTTGGGGAGGACAGTCAAGAGCAATGGCGAGGCAGAGAAGCTCCCAGGAGAGAGGAAAGGAGAACTGCCTAGACTGGGAGGGGATCAGGGAACACTTTCAGAAGTAGCAGAAGCTGGGGCGGTAGCGGTCCCTCAGAGGAAAACAGTTCACCGTGTCCCTACACAGGGAGGCTGCTCTCTAGGCCTGTGCAACTCGGCCACAGCAAGAACCTCCTCGGTGAGCTTGTCACACAAGCAGGGGTGTTTGCCTGCAAGACATCATGAAGGCTTGGATACTGGGCATATCAGTCAGGCCCAGTGTGGACTGAAGAAAGAGAAGGCGTACACGCCCGTCCTGGGATGCACCTAAGAGCTTGGGGAACTCTGTGTGATTTGGGAGGTGCGGAATCCCTAGCAATGACTTAAGCTGACTCTCACCAGTCTCAAAATGGATGGCTGGGTTCAGATTTAATCAGGCTTATAATTTAAGAGCTATTTCTTCCATATAACTGTTAGAACAAATAAAATTTATATCAACCATTACAATAACTTTCCCTGAAAAAAGCAGCATGACCCAACCAGTAAAAAACTCTTGAATTGAATTCTATATAAAATAAAAATGTCTAACTGCATAAATAATCCTATATATGTCTAGAATCGATTTAGTCTTGAATTTTTTCCTTTACTTCAGTTTGAGAAACTGTTTGAGACCCTCAAGCCAGGAAAAACGTGGTCTCTTGAGGAATAGATGACTTCTTCCACATTTTTAAAAAATGAGAGCAAGTAAACATTATCACTCATCAAATTGGTGCTTTGATCTTTTCCTGTTTTCTACTTATTACTTTTTTGTTTTTTTGCTACTGATACAGGGAAGCTCAGGGTTAAATCTCTTATATAATATTACCCAGTAACAGATTATCCTCTGACTTTCTATGTGTTTTTTATTAAATGTTCATCACTGTAATTACCTCAAATCCTTTTAGAAAGAGGCAGGGTAAAACTAATGAAATTCTATGGGGGTCACTTTGAACTTAAGAAAAAATTTATACTATTTGTGTTAATATATCATGTTACCTTTATAAATGCCAGCGCTAGGGTGCAGGGGTCATGCACACCTTATTGGCATGGTATTTATCTCTTACGAGAGGCTGCTCATATTTCAGAGGAATTTCTATAGTTATCAAAATCCATATTAATAAACTACATGTAATGAGTCAGTTCTAAAACCTTCTGTAGCAAAAAAAAAAAAAAAAGCTGGGTTATATATTCTTAAAGGAACAGTGTTAGATGTTATCAAGCTCCAGTCAAGTAGTTTAAATCTAAGAGGAACCCTGAGAAATTACTTTTAAAAACTATTAAAACAGATAAAAGTAAATGATGACACCCATATATCCATAATTTAGATTTAACATTTGTTAACTTTTTACTGTAGAAATTACTTTTCAATATAAGAGGAAGGGCTTTTTGATAAATGTTCCAAAGCATATTATAAATGTTTTCCTTGAATGAATAGTGTGAATTTTAAACAGCAAATATATTAGTTATTTAACTCGTCAGCCAAATCAGGAGGGAGGAACTATCACAAAACCACTTCCCTGTTTTGTGACAGGAATTAGACAAATTAAAGAAAAAGTTTCAAATGTTGGCCAACAAAAGTCCTAAGTCCATGCACAACAAAGCCAGATGTCATGGGAAAAGAATGACTACAGGTACAGAGAAAACCAGTAATGAAGCAAAGCACAAAAAGGGAAATACAGTAGAGAAATGACTGTAGTTGTTAAATATTATCACAGAAAAAAATACTAAAACTATCATATAATATCATTTCTAATGATCTGGTTGAGAGACTGAAAACTTGGGGATACTAATCATGGTGCAATTTAGAGGGAGGTAGGCCACAAAATCTGTTATTGCATGGCCTAAGCCAAATACAAAATAAATATGCTAGAAGGTTGAAACTGCCAAAACTGAACTACTAATTGTGTCTCTGGTACAGCAATTCAAGGATGAAGGAGGAAAATGCTATGTAAGTAATTACAACTAATGGAAATGAACAGCTCAGAAAACATTTTGTCAGGCCAGTGGAGGGGGGGTGGGGTGAGCGGGGGCAGCGCAGTGCACAGAGCACTCAGGAGCCAGATGGACTGTGTTGGAATCCTGGGTCTGGCCCTTGGACTCTACATCGGTCAACTGCGTCAATAAAGTAAGTTAGATTCTGACAAATGCTAATTAGTGTATGCTACAACCAATAGCCTTTCCCTGGAGCTATACAATAAGTTTTATATTCCACAACTTAAATGAAAGGCCAAGTGGCAAAAGAAAACTACCAGATCAAATTTATTCAAACATTTACTGCCAGGCACAGTGTCTGGGGCTGGGAATAAAAGATCAGGAAGAGGTGGTCCTTCCCCTCAAAGAGCTTACAACCAACTATAATTTGTCAAGGAAAAAACCAGGGGTTCAACCAAAGCTTTGAGAAACAGATTTTCACAAACAAGAAAGGTAAACACAGACTGTTCTAAAGTTTCGTTTCCCATCAGCCAGTACCAACATTATTTATCAATACACCAAACACTTACCAAGCTTAGAATCACTATCCCCACCTCTCTGGACTCCTGGAAAGATGATGGGGATAATCTGTATTGCCACTTATGCTATATCGCACACTGTAGAGGCATGACACACGCAAGGGCACCTTTCAACTATTAAACACATTCAGTTGCTGGTATGACTTTCAGGTGTTCTTTTAGGTACAGGATAAAATCATTTATTAGTATTTGCTTAAAGTTCAGAAAACTTAATAAGGAAATAATCCTCATTTATGCTAAAAGTTACTGTTGAAAGTAATCTACAGTGACAACTGTAATTTTAAAATGAAAACTGGGTCTGCAAAAATTAGCACCAAGATAAAATAACCTGGAGCCTGCCATTTTAAGCTCTGCATTTTCTCTATCCTGCAAAGGAAGGAGGAACAGAGCAGGTGAGTGCTCTAATGGATTTCCACCTTCCATTACAAACAGCACGGTGGGTGTATGTGCCCTCTTTTGTCTATAAACGCTGCTTCCCTATGAAGCTATCAGGCAAAAGAACATCTGAAAGCAACACCATTGTTCCTTGAGTTTTTAGTTATTCATAGAAGCACTCTCTGCCCTTGTTTCTTCCTTATGTATATTCAATTAACAACCTCAAACATAGATGTGTGATCTCCTACTTTTTATGAGTCTCAAGAGGCAGGAAATTGTATTAAACCGCATAGAAAGAAATATGTTTAGGTTTCTATGGAGTTTGAGAACAGATTTTACTAAAACACTTAAACTTTATGGGCAACAAAGATTTACTATTTTCAGGATTAAATAAAAACTTTTGAGTGGGGTGAGAGAAAGATGAGAGTAGTAACTCTCAAATGTGAAACTGTACTCTAAATTTTTAAAAAGGTTCTCTCAATGACACGAGGTCTCCAAGCAGGCATCTGTATTTTCTGTGCTGTGGGTTGTCTCTGTGGGCCTGGGTCTGATGAAAGGTTCACTAATCTTGTGATAAAGTATACTTGCTATTTTGCAAAGTTTTAAAAAATGATACAGTAGGGGCTGGCCCTGTGGTGTAGTCTTGGTGGCGCAGGCTTTGTGGGTTCGGATCTTGGCACAGACCTACACACCACTCATAAAGCCATGCTGTGGCAGCGTCCCACGTACAAAGTGGAGGAAGACTGGCACAGATGTTAGCTCAGGGACAATCTTCCTCAAGCAAAAAGAGGAAGATTGGTAACAGATGTTAGCTCAAGGCCAATCTTCCTCACCAAAAAAAAATAATACTAATAATAGGAATATAGTAAAAATTCCAGGCACTAAGGTGGATGCTTTATTTACAGACAACCATAAAGAATTATTAATTTTTAAACTCTTGTCCATCAAAAAAACTCTTAATAGGAAAGAGAGAGAAAAAAATCTTTTGGTTAATATTATAAATCAAAACGTAGGCATTTAAAGTGCAGTGCAGCCATGGACTCGGAAAATTACAAACCGTTAAAGGTCTTTAAGATTTAGAATGTATTTTTGTTAAATTTAACTACAAAGCCAGCTGCAGGAGAAAAATCATTTTACAACAAAAGAAAATGACGAAGCGCCCTCTGTGGCTCTGTCTAGCAAAGTAAAGCATTGTTTTGGTAAATGCTCTTCTTCACACACAGGCACATCTTTAGTCCGACTCCCCGGTATGTCACCAACATGGCTGACGTCGCATCTGTGTTTCTCCTTGTGAGGCCCAGAAATGGCAGAGATAAAACTGGGACAATGAAAAGGAAACACATCCCTGGAGATTAATTGGACAGGAAGAGCTTTATTAATGAACTCCAGGAAGAGTGAGGACAGAGAAGCACAGTATCCAAGGGACTAAATGGAATAGACTAGAAAGGAGTTCACACTGGGCAAAAGTCAGGAAAAGGAGCTGAAAGGCAGAAATGGAAAAAGCACACACAAATTCAGAGAGAAACACACTTGCCTTCCCCCACACTAGAACCAGAGCAAAAAAGTAATATACTCATGTTTTTCAAGTCTAAATGGATGATAGTTATTACCATGAAGAAAGGTGCAGTACATATCAACTGACAAAAAATTGAGAAATTTCTCTCCGTGTCGAATCTTTTAGCCTATGTGTTTATTGTGTGTCTGAAGAAATACTGTCCCAAATCAACTAAAATAGTAATAAAAGAAACACTTGGATTTGAAAATGAAAAGAACTCCCTAGTAAAATAAAAGCAACATTTTCAATCGTTTTGGTTCCTTGCTTTAAGGAACATTTTTTAAAAACCTCTGGGATTAAAGAAGGGGTTGCCAAACTGCATAGTACTCAGAGAAAAAAGTTGAAGCATTTGCTAATATTGTTTCTTGCCAACTTACTTCAAAGAGATGCTGTAAAGGATTGGACTGGAGTTTTTCTTCATAGCCAAACAGTTGGAAGCCAGTTCCCAGAAGACCTATCACAACAATCCATAAATGAAAAAATTATAAAATGGAACAGCAGAGAACAATCCTGGCAGGGAACAGGTATAGTTCTATAAAAAGATCAATCTCTCAGAGTTATATATCCTGAGAATATTGCAAAAGACACACTGTCACCTTCTGCTACCCCATAAACTGACACAAGTCAAATTCAATATATTGAATTACAAGTTCAATCTACTGAATAGATCACTGAAATTAATTTCACAGAAACCAACAGACTGTGAGCTCCCCAAAGGAAGAGTTTAGGGCTAATTTATCTTTGCACTGTTAGCTGTTAAGCTATCTTTATCCCTAGCAGACATCAATAAAACAAGCATTTATTGAGCAGCTACTCTGTGGAAGGACATCACGATGCTAGACACTGGATACTCAAAATCTGTGAAAACAAACTGATGGAAAGTGATTTCAAAACTTTCTTTTTAAACTTGTAGATGTTAAAATAAAACAAAGGTAGGAATTGGCTTGGTGTTATAATATTAGTTCTTAAACAAATAACCAAGGAAAACAAGAAAAGATAAAACTTGAAACATCCCTGATTACTTCCCCCATTCAAGGTGACCAAGCAACAAAATTCTTTTATCTGGCCATATATACTTGTCTTTTATTTGCCAATGATATTTTCTTAGTCTCCGAAAATAAGTTCAGAGTTCAGGGATAGTGTTAATTTGAACCTTTTTTTTTTTAAAAGAAAATAGTAATTGAGGTTTGTAAACTAGCAACGAAAATTCCTAGTATGGACTGTGAATATTTATTCTCTTAAGATATTTTGCTAAAAGGTGATCATAATTTCAGTTTCAAAAGATATATGCAGCCTGGGGCCAAGAGCAATAATAGGTAGTTTAATTATTTTAAAAACCAATCTGTTTCTACAACCCTATCAATTACCAAGCCTCAGATCCAAAGGAACTATTGCCACTGGGCCTTGCTGATGCACATTTTTCTAGATAGGCTTGGCAGAAAGTAGGATGCTACTGAACACAGGGCTAGACACTACTTTGGAGCTTAGACAGGAACTAGAAGGATGACTGAAATATGTACCAGCTCTATTCACTTTCAAGCAAAAGCAAATGTGATTATGATTCAGGGTCTTGGGAACAGGATGTGGAAAGATGCCTAGAGTGTTCTAAAAAACAGAAATAGGAAAAGTAAAGGCCAATTCCATTTAACATTCCACCTAACATATTTTCAGAAACTAATTCTGTGCTTAGGAACTGTCTGCCAACTTTCCATAGCAGATAGCTAAAACAGCCCAAATTAAACTCTTCAACAATGATGGTGATGATGGAAATGTTGACAGATCATTAACCATAGCAGTCCTTTGGAGAAAAACTGCTATAATAAAATCCTGCAGCTAAAATTTAATGAATACCATAATCACACATTTGCTAACGCCTATGAAATGCCGAATCTGTCAAAGTAATATAAAGTGGATGCCATCTATTAAATCTGACTGTTGAGCCTAGAGCCTAAACCTCCGAGTACCAGCTGTTGTGAACTGCAGGTGGATTTTTAAAATGCAGGGCATGTTTTCTGATTCCTTCACAGTGAATAGTAAAGACACTGTTAACAGGTTCAAGTTGCTATCCTTTTTAGGGTCTAAAAAAAATTATTAACTGAGATGATAATCTTCATAAGAGAAGGTCATGATAAATCTGTCTTTTTGAAACTGATTTCATTTCACAAGATACGGAATATAATAGTATCAGTAAACTTTAGAACTGGCAGTGCACAATGCACTTTACAGAAGCTTTACTATCTTTATTTTGGATTAGTACTGTAAAATACTTCCCAAAACAGATTCATTCATCATTATGAGTGCCTCTTATGTGCCAAGCACTATGGATACAAAAGTAATTAAGACACAGTCCATGCCTTCCTGGAACACCACATCTAGCAGGGGAGAGAAGCACACAAATCAGAATACAGTGAGAGAAGCCTACCTGAGAAGAGCTGGGTCCCAGGAACTTGGTGATGGGCGAAGGTGGGTAAGGGGGTATCATGTGTCAGAGAACGCTTTACAGAGGTGACACTAGGGTTGGATCTTAAAATACACATAGTAGTTGCCAGAGATTTTTAAAAGTTTGCATTTCACATGCTACCGGTCCTTCACTACCTTAGCAACTTCATCTATCTTACCCTTCCACACCCTGATTACTGGCATGTATGAGCGAGGGATGGTTCTGAGCAAACTCACGACATTAGAGATAATTTGTGGCACTCAACTATTTGGGTCTCACTCCTCTCTTCCTCTCTTTTCTTTTCGAACCCCTGCCACTATAGAATTTAAGGAGATGTCAAAGTCTCCCAGTTTGTTTTTCCTCTAGGCCACTGGCCAGGGTATGACCTCAGCTCCCACTTCATGTAGGATAGCCTAGGCAGGCTGGACCTCACTAGTTTTAAAAATAGCAGGGCTGTGGTTGAGAAGCGTGTATACAGCTATTTACTTTTTCCTTATATACTCACTTCTCCATTTAACTAACAAATTTAAGCTACTTTTCTTTAATAAAACCACAAAAGTCTGTATTTATCAGGTCTTGCTCTGAATGTGTTAAGTTTCATCCCTGAAAACTTATTTGTGTGGTGAGACTTACTCTAATAAATAAAAAATAAGATTCATGCAAAAGAGCTATTAGGAAAAAAAAGAAGTAGGAGGCAGTACTTCATCCAGTGGGATTCTGCCTATATTCTGTCCAGATGACCAAGTGACATGATATTAAAAGAAATTAAATTTAATAAGGAAATAAAAAATAAAATCTCAAACTTACTTACCAAACTGCATGCCCCAATCTCCAAGGTAATTTATTCTTGTTACTTGATGTCCTAAAGCTTCTTTGAGATTTGCTATAAAATTTCCTAGTAATCAATAAAATATACAGTTTCTCATTCTTGTTATCCATTTTGGCATAAAAACCAAGTGCTTCTCTATTATCAAAGCATAACATAGAAAATTCTTTTGGCAAAATTTACCAACTCAATTTTTTTTACTAAAACATTCATTATTGTGTTTTCATCATTTTTTTGGAATGGGAATAAGGAATTATTTTGGGGGCAGTTATTTCAAAGAATCTCACAATTTTCACAAGAACAGAATTTTCATCAATGTTAATGGGAGTTAGGAAAACATGCTAGAGTAATTGTTATTCCAAATCAATTCCAAGGACAGAAAATAACAAAATCTTAGTAATTAACAAGAAATATATAATTTGGCTGTGCCCTAAAGAACCTGAGCCATACTTTTTTTTGTTTTTTGTCTTTTTGGTGAGGAAGATTAGCCCTGAGCTAACATCTGTCACCAATCCTTCTCTTTTGTTTTTTGGTTTTTTTTGTGAGGAGATCAGCCCTGTGCTAACATCTGCCAATCCTCCTCTTTTTTTTTTTGGCTGAGGGAGACTGGCCCTGGGCTAACATCCGTGCCCATCTTCCTCCACTTTATATGGGATGCCACCACAGCATGGCTTGCCAAGCAGTGCATCGGTGCACGCCCAGGATCTGAACCGGCGAACCCAGGGCAGCCACAGAGGAGCGTGCGCACTTAACCACTTGTGCCACCGGGCCGGCCCCCAATCCTCTTTTCGTTGAGGAAGATTGGCCCTGGGCTAGCATCCTCCTCTATATGTGGGACGCCTGCCTCAGCATGGCTTGATAAGTGGTGCGTAGGTCCGCACCCAGGATCTGAACCTGCGAACCCCGGGCCGCTAAAGCAGAGCGCACAAACTTAACCACTACGCCACCAGGCCAGGCTCATACTATTTTTTTTTCCCTAAATAGCTCACTCTACCTTCTTGTAATCACTTAAGTCCATCCTCTCGTGCCTGATCCCTAACAGCACATAGTAGTCCAAGACCTTCACCTTCCTGTACTGCTGATGCTGGTTTGATAATCAACATTTATTCCACTGTCCTTCTAGTGTGCCTTCACATACTGCAGAGGCTGGAAACCTAAAAATTACATTTCCTAGAATCTCTTGCAGTTAGAGTTCCAGAAGTCACTTAGGTTTGGGCAATGAGATACATTTTGCACGAGATTTAAAAGGTGAAAATGAGGCGGAAGGGGAGCTACTTCTATTTTTTCTGACAAGCACAGCTGTAGAGGCCTTGTTTTTTAGTGACATCAGTACTAGAAGTCCTAACATCCTGCCACGTAAGCTCCAAAGGAAGTGAAAGACAGGGTATAGGGCTGCCTCTTTGCTATTATGAATTCTAGAAGACACAGCAGGAGTGGTGGCAGTTTCCTGACTGAGACAGTAGCAGTGTGGTTCCAGAGCAGTGAAAGTGATGGCATGTTTAGTATTTTCTATGAAACTAGCAACACTTACCTATGATGGTGGAACGCAAATGTCCAACGTGAAATTTTTTGGCAACATTAGGTGAACTGCAAATAATTGCAAAAGTTATTTTTCTGTCCTCAGAACAAGAGTTCTAAATTGAACTAGGTCATGCCTCCATAGTTTAACACAAATGGGGACTAAGGCCTTTGGTAATTTAGGGCAAAGATAAGTTAAAAATTAGAAATTTAGAGCAAAAATAAATTAGAACTCAGAAAGAATCATCCTTAGTGAATTGATCTTGTGACTTATAAGGTAGTACCATATACAGAAGTGGCTCACTGAGGAAGCAAATACATTTAAGGACTGATAAAAAGATGAAGAAATTCAGAGATATTGTTTTGACACAAACAATGTAGATTACTGAGAATTAAGTTTAGCACACCAGTTCTCAAATCCTTTATCCTCTTAAAAATTATTGAAGACCCTAAATAAATTTTATTTATATGAGTAAGATCTATCAATATTTACTGTTATCAGAAATTAATATAAAAAATATAAAAATATTTATGTATAAAACTTCCCAGAATAACCAGAAATCTGATTCACCACTCCAAATTCTCAGTCAATACATTTATCACTCCTGTGTGTGCTTGAGAAGTTGTAATCAATAATTTAACAATAGCATATGTTTCTAGAGCACTCGCTACTTGACAGGCACAGCTTCACACAATTTACATGCATTAACTCATTCAACACTCAGAGGAGCTGTGAGGTAAGGTACTCTCATCTCTTATTTTACAGACGAGGGAACTGAGACAAGGAAAAGAGATAATAAAGCAAATGTGGCAATATCTTGGACTCCTGAATCTGGGTGATGAGCATATAGGACTTGATTATAATGTTCTCTCTGTTTTGTGTATGTTTGAAAATTTCATAAGTTTTTCAATACTAAAAAAAAAAGACACATTAACTTGAATACAGCTGGTTAAAAAGTGGTAAAAATAGAGCTTAATTTTGGTCTTCTATCTCTAAAGCCTTGTTATATATCTTTTTTAAGGACATTATGATTTAAAAACCTGATCCTACAGATACCTGCACACAATTGAGAAATCATGCAACTATAAGGATGTTGATTTAATCATTATTTAGAAAGAAAGTAAACGTTCTTCTATAGGATTAAAAAATAAGGAATCTTCTACTTCTACCCAAGAAGAGACTGGATTTACTATTCTGCCTTAAACAACCAGAAAACCAGAAAAAGATATGAAACACTAGTTTTATGACACCAGACAACAGGACAGTGCTCCTGAGAGAATGACAGCAAACAAGGTGACCCTTAGGACTGCCTAACTAGCAAATTTGTGGAACTTGTAGCTAAAGCAGAAAAATCTATAGCATGAATGTTTATATTAGAAAAGAAGAAAGATTTCAAATGAAGAATCTAAGGTTCTCTTTTAAGAAACTAGATGGGGAAGAGCAAACAAAATCCAAAGTAAGCAGAATAAAAGTGAATAATATAGATGAAAGCAGAAATCAATGAAATAGGAAAAAATGACAGAGAAACTGTTCTATATCATAATTGTATTGGTGGTTATGTGACCCATACACTTTTGCCAAAACTCGTCAAATTATGTTGAAATTTGGTGAACCATATTGTATGTAATTGTAACTCAATCATGCTGACTAAAAAAAAAAAAAAAAAAAAAAAAAACTCCAGACAACAAAATACTAAGATACAATAAAAATAATAAGCCAGTGCTGGATGTACTGATACTAAAGGAACATAAGATACATTGTTTAGTGGAAAAAAGCAAGGACTAGAACAATGTATATAACATGTGTGATCTGTTTATAAAAGCACAGAAAAAGCACAGAATATTTCTAGGTGGGTAAACAAGAAACTGGCATCAGTGAATGCCCATTCTGAAAGAAGCAGAAAACTGGGATGGGGGGGAGACTTCCTTTTCACTGAATATCCTTTTGTAATCTTTGAATTTTTAAAAACTAGGTATTTATATTATTTAAAAAAAAGCTTTCGCTGGGGCCGGCCCCGTGGCGTCGCGGCTAGGTGCACATGCTCCGCTGCTGGCGGCCCAGGGTTCAGATCCTGGGCGCACACCGATGCACCGCTTGTCAGGCCATGCTGTGGCAGCGTCCCATATAAAAAATGGAGGAAGATGGGCACAGACGTTAGCCCAGGGCCAGCATTCCTCAGCAAAAAGAGAAGGATTGGCATGGATGTTAGCTCAGGCCTGATCTTCCTCACCAGAGGAAAAAAAAAAAAGCTTTCCCATAACTTTTTTTTCTCTAGGATTAGAAGAATTGAATCTATCTAGGTCTTCACAAAAGGTCCCTTGAAATCATCAATTTGCCATTCTCTGGCACCATATTCCTACTGGGAAAGGAATACAATGAAATGGAAAACATAAATTTAATTCCTTTGGCAACCAAAGTAGCCACTATGAATTACAATTTGGACACTTCACTGGGGCTTTAAAAAAATTATTTCATATAATTTCCTCAATCTTGTAAGAAAAGACAGATATTTTTACTCTTGTTTTCCAGATAAGAAAAGAGACTAGAGAAATAAACTGCCATCCATGATCACTGAATCAGTTACTGAGAATTGGTACCCTGATCCCCTGGATTCCCATTTTACCAATCAGAGGTCACCAATCTGTTTGTGAGGAGAACACTTTACACTGGGGAACAGCAGGGGGTGGGGAAGATTGTGCTAAGAATAGGAAAGTATACCACTACTGACTGTGCTCCTGCAGATTTGATCTGAACAAAACAGGAAAGGCTGCCTTCGCAGAGAGGGGAGAGGCAATAGTAGTAGCTTCAAGTCTCACTCCACCTACCCATTTCTGAAAATGAGAGCCCAGGTCCGTGATGGACAGTCATCTACGCTGGCACTTTATCACAGTACTCCTAGATCTGACAATATATATGCCAAGCAACACTGTGCATCAAGGAGGCAGTAAAGGTTAAGTATACAACAGTCAGAGTCCCAGTTAGCTCTACGACTCTGAGCAAGTTACCTGACCTGTTATCATCACCATCGTCTCAATTTAGGGGACAAGTTTCTTGAACACAGTGATTATATCTCTTGCTTTTTGGGGGAAAGTTGCCTGGTCTATTTAAGACATTATATATTTAAAAATTGTTCTTCTCTCACTTCTCTCATTTTCAGAAAAAATTCAAGAACAAAGTTTTCTATCAATTTTGACCCTGTCTCCCACCTGTTTGTCTCCACTTTGAAACCACAATGAAAAGCATCACAGCATCTGGAAAACTCTAAGAGAGGGAGCAGCTATGGTCCCACAGATGGAAAATAACAGAGCAAAGATGGCCGCTGGAAATGGACTTTGCCTACAACAGCATTCAGATGCTCATTTAAGTTCCAGCCTTCCTTAACTGCTTCAGAAAAAAGTTGAGAGGGGCGAATCGACAAGCAAATAAACCGCCATACAAAAAGCCTACAGAAGACAACTCAAATAGAGCAGGTTATTTTTAGGCATTTCTTACAAGCACAAACAAAAAAGAGCACTATACGGGAAACAAAAACTTTGAGGGAAAGCCAGAGAATCAATGAGTAAGGAACACTGAGGTCTTAGTAGTTTGAGCTTGGTTGGGGAGGAGGGATGGTGAAGGTGAAGTGAAAATGGGGAGGAAGGTGTTAAAAGTGAGCAACTTTTCAAGTTTCAAGAAACTTAGGATGGCATTATGTCAAGGGTGAATGTGTGGTAACAGATACTATGCCACCTCCCTACTGATTTTCCTCTACCGCTGGTTAGGGAACAGCAAGGAGTGTGAGAGGAATACAGAACTGAGGTGCCTCCCCAGAGAAGAAGGGTAGGCGTACTGCATCAATTTAAAGACATGAATGAAAAGAATTAAAGATGGCCACAAATTCTTTGCCACTCTTGCCATTAAGAGATGAAGTCTATTTTCCCCGCTGTTGAAGCTGGGCTGATCTTGTGACTTTCTTTACTAGCAGAAAGTGACAGAAGAGATGCTGTGCCTGTTACAGGACCAGATGTTTTTACTATTTTGGAGCCCTGAACACCTTTGTAAAGAGGTCTGGCTACTCTGCTGGAGAGAGAACGTGGAGAGGGAGAGATGCCTGGCCAGCTCTCAGGTCAGACGCCAGATAAGTAAATACATCACCTGGACTTCTAGCTCCAGCAGTCTCTAGATGACCAGAGCTGCATAAGTGACCACAGGCAAGTAAAAGAACCATTGAGGTAAGCTCTCCCTGATTTCCTGATCTATGGAGTCATTAACATTAAAATGGTTGTTGCACTAATCAACAGTTGGCAAACTTTTTTCTTAAAGAGCCAGATAGTAAATATTTTAGGTTTTCAGGCCGTCCAGTCTCTATCTCAACTATTCAACTCAACTCTATGCCACTAAAGTATGAAACAAGGCACTGTGACAATATGTAAATGAATGTGTAAGCCTGTGTTCCAATAAAACTTGATTTACAAAAACAGGTGGCAGATTGGATTTTGCTCATAGCTGAAGTTTGCCAATTCCTGTATTAAGTTTTGGAGTGACTTGTTATGCAAAAAGAGATAACTAAAATGACAGGCAACTTTCTTTAGGGGATAGATGGCCTTAGTGTAGTTCCTCTGTGGAGTGAGGATGACTGCAGGAAGTCCTTCTCCTCTCTTTCATGCAATTATTACACTAAACTTTAAATAGCACGATTGGGGTGCACTGGTAGCATAAGCTTTATTCATAGTATCTGTCTGCTTCACAGGAGCATTAGCTTACTCAACAATCAGTCCTTATCAAAAACAGGTGAGTTTACTGAATCTTAGAGGGTCTGCTTTCCTTTAGAACATGAGTGAGTGGTAGAGACAGTACAAATGTGGAATCCATAAAACCCACTCACCTCTGATTATCCAGGTGCTAATCACAACTAAGTTATAATTTCATAAAACTTATAAATTATAATGAGTTAGGAAACCTGAAATCATATTTCCCATATCAATTTTTAAAAATCCTCCACAAAAATATATACTTAAGAAGACAAAAGACTCTAGCAAGTTCTATCTTTCTAAGTGGAAAATAGTTCATCAAGACTCTTCTCCAGGGGCCAGCCAGGGTGCAAGAGGTTAAGTGCGCACGCTCCGCTGCGGTGGCCCGGGGTTCGCCAGTTCGGATCCCTGGCGCGCACTGACACACCACGTGTCAAGCCATGCTGTGGCGGCATCCCATATAAAGTGGAGGAAGATGGGCATGGATGTTAGCCCAGGGCCAGTCTTCCTCAGCAAAAAGAGGAGGATTGGCAGATGTTAGTTCAAGGCCAATCTTCCTCACACGAAAAAAAGACTCTTCTCCAGCTTTTAGGAAGGCAAATACAATATCTCTGATAATTTTCATGGACTGTCAACCTGTCAGTTGTACGCTGACAGTGTTCCCTTTTCTTTTTTGGTTACCTAAAAACAGTTCAAATGTTAGATGGTTGTACTGATAGCACATCAGAAAGTTATTATAAAGACTATTTAGAGGCATATTAAAACTTCAAGCTATTTTTCTGGTAATTTTTAAAAATATGTATTACAACCACTCCAAGGCTTTGTTCTCTAGTAATCACATTGTTTTAAAATTCTTAATATGGTAGTAACCATTATCTCTGCCTTAAGAGTCGACTAAGATGAAAAAGTAGTTCTTCCAAAAAGATAACTATTAAACAATAAAGAAAGAAAAAAAACCCACAATAATCACTAGACATTTTTTTGATTGGAGTCCAAACACTTTTATTCATGGTTTAATGATCAATTCACTGTGATTTTAAGAAAATATAATCTCACGGGTTTTCAATTTTTCCTTGTGTAATTTTGTGAGACCCCAGATAATGGTGAAATGCTCCCCTGGCCCAGCTAGTTGATTACCGACACAAAAGATGGGCAGGTACTCACCTGAATTCAACCACAATCTTCTTCTGGGGAAGACCAGAGAAAAGTTCACTTTTTAATCCGTATTTTGAACCATCTTCGATTACTTGTTGTAGCACTGTCTGAAAAATAAAAGGTGTGGGATTTAATGAGAGAAAAATATTGCAATTTTCTTAATCACTTTGTTACTAGAAACTAAATATTCCTAATGTGCTCATTCTAATTTATGGACATATCAGTCTGTAGCACAGGACAGATTCTGTGAGGGAAAAGAGAAATCTTAGGAACTCTTAGGAGCTCCAAGGTTTCAGACTTGGTTAGCTAAGTGAGTGGGAGTGGAGCTCATGGAAATGGAGAATGTAGAAGATAGAGGAGCTTTTAACTACAGAATGTCAGTGAGCTAGCAAAGTTTCCTGATATTCCAATAGATGAATAAGCTAGAGACTCATCTATTCATCAATATGTTTAAATGCAAGACATACTTAGTAGTGTACATATAGCTGCATAAAAAGTTTATAATCAGAAATTAAATCTTTCAAAAGTTTCACTTTTTGGAATGCTTTAGCAAATTAACGAACATTCCATTTGGCTGGTACTTTCTGTTTGTCTGTGACCATCACATTTTCTGTGGATGATTTCTGTCACTTTATGTAACCGTTTTTTGGTTGATATTTCTCTAGAGCTCTCATCAGGACTTCGAAGGAAGCTACCATTACCTATCTATCTAGTTAATTCTTTGGTCAATAGTTGAAAACTGCTTAATCATTCATTCTTTCCATGCATTGGGCCAACTGGCACTACTTGTGACTTGAATGCATCCACTGCCAATTGATAGAAACTCAATTAGTGAAACAATGAGTAGAATTAGAGCCATTTAAATTAGTATCTCTTTTTCTGTCTTTTTTTCTTAAGTTTTGGTAGAGCATGCAAACTTGAATTTGGCAAACAAAAAATGCATGTGTGCATATGAAATAAAAATGATCTTATCCACTGTGTATTTCCAAGGCATACTTAAAAATACAGGATATTGTTTGCCTTTTCTCTATTTGGTTAAACTCATATTTTTTTTTTTCTCCTGCTAAACTGAATTAACTATTACTCGAAGTTATAGTTTCTCTTGAAAGTCATCTGTAAGCTACTGACAGGTAGAAGTTTGGTATCAAAATCACAGTTCTTCACAATGTATGAATTGGTCACACCATCTTCCAGCTTTGAAAAATTTATTATCTAGTTCCAGAGATTTGGCAGTTCCTACTGACTTTAATTTCACATTTTAGCCTCCTACCTTTCAGGATGATTTATATGAAGACGTTTTAAGCCATCATTAGTGATCCAGACTTAAGCTAACATTTAATCATCTCTGGTGCTGCCAGTGCTAATAATTTAATTGCAATGCATGAACAGATACATTTTATGCAAGTCTAAGTTTGTACATGTGTAAGGAATGACAAATTCAAAATTCTCTGCTTGAGGAATAAGTTTTAGACATAGATCATTGGCTACATTTCAGTTTTGATAACTTTAAAATGTAAAAAAAAAAAAAAAAAGTTTTGGGGCTGGCCCGGTGGCAAAAGCCGTTAAGTGCGCGTGCTCTGCTGCGGTGGCCTGGGGTTCGCTGGTTCAGATCCCGGGCGTGCACCGATGCACCGCTTGGCAAGCCATGCTGTGGCGGCATCCCATGTAAAGTGGAAGAAGATGGGCATGGATATTAGCCCACGGCCAGTCTTCCTCAGCAAAAAAAAGAGGAGAATTGGCAGATGTTAGCTCAGGGCTGATCTTCCTCAAAAAAAAAAAAAAAAGTTTCATAATAGTCCTAAGCAGGGCTGAATTTGGGGGCTGGCCCCACGGCCTAGTGGTTAAGTTCGGCGTGCTCCGCTTCAGCAGCCCAGGTTCGTTCCTGGGTGCAGACCTACACCACTTGTCAGCAGCCAAGCTGGGGAGGTGACCCACGTACAAAATAGAGGAAGACTGGCAGAGATGTTAGCTCAGGGCAAATCTTCCTCAAGCAAAAAGAGGAAGATTGGCAGCGATGTCAGTTCAGGGTGACTCTTCCTCAGAAAAAAAAAAGGGCTAAACTTTTTTCTTGATGCAATCTGAAAAATTCATTAGATATGCAAATGACCACTGGTTAAGGTCTGAAAATAATGAAGCCACATGTAGAAGAAATTAGGCTTTGAGCAAACAAGAATTATCACTAAAAAATTACAACTTATAACACTGGCACATTCAATACTTCTTTTTCAGAGGATGGGTGTTCACTGCTCTAGGATGTATCTTTACTGTGAGACTGAGCAAGGCTACTGTGAGCAATCTGTTTGTTCCTTTAATGAAAATCACACTAAGATCCAGATCCTCAAAGCTGCAATGAAGAGAGGATGTCCACGTGAGAAAGAGTAGCTGAATCTCAAAGCCATGACTCCTGTCCCTTCGTTGTCAATTGAGAAGGTTTAGGAATATTTTTAATAAGCGAGCTAGTGGGACTCCTTATACAGGAGAAAATCTCATAGTGTGTTAATTGTAATAAAGCAAGAAAATTCATAGTCACTGAAATTTTAAATTATTAAGTAAATATACGCCTTGCATCAAAATATAAACCACATCTCTTTCAGCTAACCTGACTGTAAAGGCAAACCCCATCTACTACAGCACATTTTCCCATCTCTGGGAAAAGAAAAAAAGTAAAATATTGCTGCCTATCAAGTGACCTGAAGTTTGAAGGGCACTTTGGTGAGCTGCATTTCTACTTTCATAAAAATTGAGACAGCAACTAGAAGAACGAGTAACTTATTTATAAACGGTAAATTAGACTCACTGGTTTGCTAAGTTGACATGAAATTTATCAAGAACTCAGCAGGTTGTAGACATTTTTTAACAAGCTCAAAACAAATTTCCTTCTTGTCCTTGTGACTGATTTTGGTTAACCAGTCTACCCTGAAGTAAGAATGAAAAAAAGATAAAAGAAAAAAGTTCAAAGATTTAGAGACAAGCATGAAACACTAACTTTCCCTCAGAAGAATTATAGGGCTGATGGGCAAATGTCTGTACACTATATAACCTTGGTAAGAAACTATATTATTAGAAATTTTGGTCTTACAGTTATTTTCAATTCAAGACTGCAGCATTCACTAAGCCTGACCAAACCGACACTGGTGTGTATTTGTTTTCTTAAAATAACAGACCAAAGCATACATTATGATAAATTTTAAATTTCAATTGAAATGACACTCTCAACAAAAGGTCTCCTTCCAAACCATCTTTCCAGGATTACCTGTTCTCTATGGTTTCACTCAAGTGAGACCCAATTCCTCTAGGAGATTTCCCTCTAGGCCATCCTGATTTCTCCATCTCTGATCTTTCTTATGTGTGATGTATCAATCACCTTTTTTTTGTTTTAATATTTATTGTTTTATTAAAAGAAGAAGCTGTCTTATGGTTTCTTCCGTATAAATCTTATGCTCCCAACAGATTATAGGCTACCAGAGAGCAGAAACCAGTAGTACCTTTTTTGTATCCAATAAAGAGTCCATAATTCACTCAACAATGGTTCTCTCACACCTACTACATGCCAGGCACTGTGCTAGGAACTGGGGATCCAATAGGGAGAAAAACAAATGCTATAAGCCCTAATGGAAATTAGAGTTTAAAGGGCAACAGGCATTAATCAAATAAAAAGAATATAAAATAGCAACTATGATAAGTTCTGCAAAGGAGAGGTATACAGTGCTATAACAGCATATAAATAAAGGAGTCAGAAAGGTACTGCCCAGGAAATATCAAGATTTGAAGGATAAGCAGGAGTTAACTTGGGATGGCACTCCAGGCAGAGGGATCAGAATGTGCAAAGGTGTTGCGGTAACAGGAAGCACAATAAGTTTAAGAACTGGAGGAAAAGCACTGTAACTAAAGCAGAGAGAGTGTGCGAAGGTGCAGTAGCTAGAACATAACACATTCTTACCTTTGTTAATAGTTCTCTGTTTATTTTGAAATTTACAGTCCCTTGACCAGTGCTGATTTCACTCACCACTGTATCACATTTTAGCTGAAAAGATAACGAATCAAGTAAAACAGGTAGGTTATAAAACAGGCCCAATGAGATTTGTAGTTCTAATACTATCGAATTGGCTTCCAAAGGCAGCAAGTGTGTCATCTCTCACAGTCGTTATATCCGAACCTAGGCCTTAGCCACTCTCTTCAGTCCCATCATTCTATTTAGGTAAACAGGTTTTCTTCTCTTCCTGACTAGAACGCTATTTTGTCTTCAGAGTCTCTCTCTTCCTCTTTCCCATTCTCTCACTTCAAATTCTCCATCTAACATGGGAGAGAAAGAGCACCACTTTTCCCAACCCTACATACCCTGTTGTGCAATGAACTCTCTTTATTTCACCCACCTTTCATGACAGTGATCGAATACGACATTCTATCAGGGCTCACACTAAAAAAGTTGCACCAACACATAAAATGTAAATAATTTAAATACTTCGTATTCAATGAATATGCTTTAAATTTTTAACCAACTAGATGTTCAAAGCACCTGATATACCCATGGAACTTGAGGAGATACCTGCTGTCACTGAAGACACAGTAGTCTTTACTTTTTGAGAACTCACAGGAGACGGGGGGAAAGAGGCTAAATATTGTAATTAGAATAATTCTACTCTTGGTGTACTTCCTGATAAAATCTGCGGTGATTTTGTGATCAAATAAATATTTATTCAGCTATCAAAGCTCCTTTATGATATTCATTCTTTCTTTTTAATGTTATGTGTTTTGCTTTTTTAAATTATTTTATTGAGGTCATATTGGCTTATAACATTGTGTACATACTCATTCTTTAAACATCTTTTTCTATGATAGTGACTTTCATTGTTCCAATTCTTGAGCATGCCCAGACACCTCCTCTGTGTCACAGGTAATAACTCTATTAAAAAAAAAAACCTTGTCCAACACCTATGTTTTCTGATAGTATTATAGTAACAATTTAGACTTGGTCATTCTCTACAATCCTTTCAATTCCTCTTTTAGATACCAAAGCCATCAGAGAAATTAGAAATGAAAGAGGTTTATTAAATCATCTAACCACCTCTTCTCTGCAATCATGATTCTATTTACATCTAATCATTTCTGCTCATATTTTAATGTTCATCTTCTCAGAAACTCATTTTAAAAATTGTAACCCACTGCTCTAATTTATCAAGCTTGTTCTCCTAAATTCAGAAGTCTATCCAGCTTCAATCTGTAAATTTAATTAACACTTCAGTCCTCCTGTAGGTAGTTAATCAAAAAATTGAACAATGTCAGCTCAAGAGGAATGCTTTACAACTAATTTCAAAAATCATCCTAACCTTATAGTACATGGCTAAAATGAATTTATACTTTCCAAGGTGCCTTGAACAAAGAAACACTACTAAATTCATTATTATGGCTGAGATAGCCTGCAGAGTATTTTTTTCTTTAAAATAATACATTTATTATAATGCCAAAAAGCGATAATAGTGCTAAAGTACCTTCTCTGCTAGTCTTGTGGCTTCAACTTGCATATCTGGTCTTGAATGGTCATTGTTGTTCTCCAATAGAGATTCCACAGAAAGCTGAAAATCAGCTACTTCTCTAAAGACAGACATTGAAATAGGAAAAGGCTGTTGTTACCTTAAAAAACATTACCAGTGTAACAAAAAAAGACTAATCACTATGGGTTCTCCACATTGACACAATTTTATCAGAAAAGGTGTTACATTCAAAATATAAGGCAAAGAAACTGGAAATATCATCACCTTGTATTTATTTAGAACTTTATCTTGTATCATCTTACTAAATTCCTCCTCTTCTATTACCTAGTTTTAGCTTTATGATATCTCTGTGAGAGAGGTAGAGCAACCACCTTATTTTATAGATGTGAAAATTGACAAGTTCAATGTCTCCCTTAAAATCCTACTGCAATGAATAAGTAGACTCAGAAAAAAGCTCAGGTTTCTTCCTCCACTATTCCAAACGCTGGCTTCTTTTAAGCCCCTCCAATGACCTCTAAATGACCAAAGCAAAAATATTTTTAAAATGTTGTAATCTGAATTTCAACATGAAAAAAGAATATTATTCTTAACACTCAGTAGTTCATTAAAGAGACAGACATTGCCATTCGTCCTTTTCACTGGATTAGTGATGAAACTGCAAAAACAAAGGAACCAAGAAACAAACACAAAGGAAAGTGATTAGTAAAAAGAACCATCCGCTTCATGAGAGCAGTTATCTCTAGGGAAGGGTGGTAGGGAGTAGAATCAAAGAAGTATATATAAATGGCTTCTACAGTATCTACAATGTTTGATTTATGAAAACAAAAATCAAGAGTGTCCCCTTACCCACGCCACACAAAAAGGACAAATTTGGAAAAAAGTTAAGACTTGACATGTTAGAAAGTGAGCACAAGTGTTCATTACACTATTCTCTATAAACTTTTCTGTAGTTTGAAATAGTTCAGAGTGTAAAAAAAATTTAATCAATATACAAACATCTACACAATTACCCACTGAATATCTTCTGATGTTTAATAAGGAACTAGAGAATGTGACTCTATGGGCAGAGTAAGTGGGTTGAACCATTGTCTGTCTAGCCCATCTGTCACTGACACAAAAGGACATATGTTAGAGCAGCACAAACGACTTCCTTTTCATCACTTTTGATATTCGGGGACATGCCTAAAAAATCCTGTGTGACTTCTGATTAACATCACATTAAAGAACTTAGTCAACAATGACCATTAAGAATTTTCCTGAGCCTTAATCCATTATCCAAGCAGCCCAGTGTGGATTACATTTACCAACCCAAACTCATCTACTGATATGTGAGCTGTAACTGCAGACCCAAGTTCATCTGTCAAGCAGTGCCTGTGTGATCTTGGGCATGCTGCTTAACCTCTCTTGTACTTCAGTAAAATGGTGATGATAATGGCACCTACTTCCCAGTGTTCCTAAGAAATTAAGTCCTGGTAAAATAATACTAGTTCCAGTTCTTATGTTAGATAAAAGTATTAAATAGTACCAGTACTGAGCCCTGGAAAATTATTCTGTCTGTAGTTCTTCATATACTGGCTTGGTTGTGGAACTGTACTCTGTTTCTTTTCTAAGACTATTCTCTAATGATTAAATTACAATTCAGTTGTCTAAAGATGAACTTCAGTTGTGGAAACTCATATGAGGTTTCAATGTATTTACTGTATTTATTCTTACCAAAGGATTCTGATAGCTTAGTCAAGTATTTGTGCCAATAATATGGGAAATGGAAGAAAGCAGTTTAACAAAATGGGAATAACATACAAAGCAGGACAGGAATAAACTCACAAACAGACAAAGATTTTTAAAAAATTAAATTAAAAGTAAGTAACAATATTAATTGAAATTATACAGATTTGAATATATCAAAGACTAAATTATGACTTGCAATACACAGCTAGGATACTTTATAAAAGATTTAATATGACCATAAACCTATAGGATGGCTCTTGAACATCCAGGAAACATAAAGATATCACGTGATTTTCTGTAGATAGTTCTAACAAGATTATGAATAGTAGGAGGCATTGATAATTTTACTCTAGACATGAATAATAAACTAATTCAATTCAATTTTAAAATTTTATTATCTCATTAGAATCCCAAATATTTCCAATTAGTTTAGTGTTAGAAGGACAAATAAAAAAATCACCCTTTTAGTCTATTAACAACAATTAACACCAACTTATTAAACTAGGAATATTTAAAACATGAATTCTGAAATTATATGAAGGATTATTTGCCAGTAAGAAAGACCCAAAAGAGAAGTAAATGCTTCAGGGAGGTGGGAAGGGATCAGCCAGACTTGACCTACTTCCTAGTGTTCCCTTTGGGGAGCTTTTAATTATATACCCACAAGAAACTTTTGCTTTGCCTATTTAAAGAGATAATTATTGAATGAGAATTATGTTTAAAGTCAGAACTGAAAACAATCTAAATGTCCATCAACAGGAGAGTATTATTAAGCCATTATTACAAGCTATATTCACAAAAAAAGAATCATGTTAAGGCAAAAGGGTTCAAAAATTATAAATACAGTGGTTTTATAGCTACTATTTTAAAAGGCTGCAAGACATATTCAAAGAGAAAAATATAAAAAATATACCAACTTGCTAACATCAGCTGTCTTACTATAGTAAGATTACTGGGAATTTTTTTCTCTTCTTATTCTTCTATATTTTCTTCAATTTCCTGAAGGAGATTATCTGTTCTGCTTTTGTGATAGAAAAACAAGCTAATTAAAAAAAAAACCTTTTGGGCTCCGCACCTGTGGCCTAGTGGTAAGTTCGGCGGGCTCCACTTCATCGGCCTGGGTTCGGTTCCTGGGCACAGACCTACACCACTCATTGGCGGCCATGCTGTGGCAGCGACCCACATACAAAATGGTGCAAGACTGGCACAGATGTTAGCCCAGGGCGAATCTTCCTCAGTGAAAAAAAAAAACTTTTAAAAAGACATAACATCTAGACTATGAAAAGAAGTAGTTATCAAAATAATCCAGTGTGAAGGAGAGGGATAGGGTTATGGATGAAACAGAACTGGCTGTGTGCCAATGCTAGTGAGTGATGGGCACACAGGGGTTCACTAAACTATTCCCTCTACTTTCATATTGTTTATAATTAAAAAACAGTTTAAAAAGCAATAGATACTTTCCCACTACTTCTGAGGAGTTGTTGTGGTGTTAGAGTGAAATCCATAAACATGAGTACTACCGGCTTATAACAAAGTTATTAATCCTGTTCACTACAATCAACATTATATAGGAATTCCATCATAGTTGAAAATATAATTGAGAGAATTAGGAGAATTGAGCAAACTGATTCATATTACATAAAATAAACCACATTAACAAAAATAATATTTCTTAATTCTCCTGGCACTTAATAGCATTTTAGAATGAAGTTAGAAATACAGAGCAGTTAGGCTTCGTCTTGGTACTGTAAAGGATACCTGGGTTTATTATGGCAAAGCAGTAGAGATTCCCTTTGTTTTAAATAAGTTTAACATGAAGAATTTTAGACTTGTAGTCTAGAAAAATTCTGAGGCCCTTCCTAATATTTATTTTCTACAAACCAAAGTCTTAGTATTTCAGATTGTTAAGGTAGAGCTGCCCAAAGGAGCTCCAGGCAGGTCAAGGAAATCCTATTCAAAAGGTGGGCCAAGATAGTTCAGCTTAATAAAGACCTTTGAAACATCAAATAAAAACTGAGACATTCCATTATGCAGAACGTCATTTACAGATTCTATGAAATAGGTAACTGGTCTAGAACATTACCTCAGTTTACATATAATTATGAGGTCCCTTGGTCAGTGGTTGCACTGTTCTTGGAACTCAATACAGAGGAAGTTGCAGCAGGCCATTTTAGAGGTGCTCTCTTTTATAAGGCCATATGTAGCCTTTCTCTTCCTTTTCTACTTATCTCTTTGTCCCATTCTGAGAACAAGAATATTCATCCTACTCTATCTTAAAGTCCTGACAAAGTTAAGAGGACAAAATGACGTAAAGACATATGGTACTGATAATTATATCTTTACATCTTTCTAAAGTTTAGGGCTTAAAGGCCTATTATATAGCTAATTTCTTGTCATTATTAATTGACTGAGAGGGTATTTTATCCAAGTATTGAAGTTTTCCACCCAAATGGTAAATAAGTATCAATTAGGATGACCAAACTCACAAAGAGACAGACATCTCCCTGCATCCAAGAGAGCAACTATGGATTATAGGTAGTTTTAACCAATAGTTCTCTATCACTGGGAGTCCTCAAATGGAAACTCAAAAAAACAACAAAACAACAACCCAAAACACAAAAAATCTAGCAGGTAAATATGGTACAATAGTATTCAAGCATCAGATGAATGAAGGGATCTGTAAGATGCCTTCAAAAACCCTGAGATTCTTGGGGCCAGCCTAGTGGCATAGTGGTTAAGTTTGTGCTCTCCGCTTTGGCGGCCCCGGGGTTTGCTCCCAGTGCAGACTGCACCACTCATCAAGCTATGCTGTACCATATACAAAATAGAGGAAGACGGCAACAGATGTTAGGTCAGGGCTCATCTTCCTCAGCAAAAACAGGAAGATTGGCAGCGGATATTAGCTCAGGGTTGAGCTTCCTCACAAAAACAAAAAAAAAGATTCTAAACACAATCTTAGTTCTTTTATTTGCTGTTACAGAATTAACCTCAAACCTCATTCCTAATTTTTCTTAAAGACTTTGACATAATTATAGTTATTAGCATAAACAAACACCAAAACAATCAACATGACAATACTAATATATTCTGCCATGTCAGAGTACCTAACATACAGACTAATTTTATTATTTAAGTCAATGGGAATAATAAGTTGAAAATAATGAACCATATCATATGGTTAATTCCAAGGACTATTCTACAAATTGAAGAGTAATAATTTTTTGTTGTTACAAATATATTATACTTAACTCTTTTTTTGAAATTGGAACTGCAGATATTGACTTGATCAAGTTTTCTGGAGGAAGATCCAACACTCTGGAAAGCTAAAAATCAAAAAGAACAAAACAGGGCAAGATTGTTAATACATTTGTTCCAGATTCAATGGAATCCTACTTAGCAACAAAAAGAATAAACTATTGATAATATGAATGAACCTCAAATGCATTATGCTAAGTGACAGAAGCTAGACTCAATTTATGATTCAATTTATTTGACATTCTAGAAAACCCAAAACTGTAAAGATGAAGAATAAATCAGTGGTAGCCAGAAGTTGAGGGTGAGGAGAGGGTTTGACCATAAAACAGCAATCAGAATTGTTCACCAAAAAGGATGAATTTTACATTTGTAAGTTTAAAATAAAATTTAAAAAATGTTTTATAAAAAGAGAGAGGATGAATCACTAAGGGACCAAAGATAATACATTTTTTATTCATTCAAAAAGTATTTATTGAGTGAGTACCTACTTTCTGCAAGGCACTGCTCTGGGTGTTGGAGATATAGTGGTGAACAAAACACACAAAAATCTCATGGCACTTAAAAATAAACAAACAAGCAAACAAATAATGGGGGGGGAAATCTGATCCCCAAGCCCTATTAAAGGTTTACTCATCAGAATAGCAGGGTTGGATGCGCTTGTATTTTTTTTCTGGTGAGGAACACTGGCCCTGAGCTAACATCTGTCGCCAATCTTCCTCTTTTGCCCGAGGAAGATGGTCCCCAAACTAACATCTTGAACATAAGCTATCTAAAACCAGAACCTACACCCAATTCCTATCTACATCCTTTCAACAAGAAATGCATAAAACAAAATAGTGAAATAACAGTATAGCCATAATGAATTTAAAAATGTCTTCATTTTGGGCCGGCCCCGTAGCTTGGCGGTTAGGTGTGCGCACTCTGCTACTGGCGGCCCGGGTTCGGATCCCAGGCGCGCACCAATGCACCGCTTCTCCGGCCATGCTGAGGCTGCGTCCCACACACAACTAGAAGGATGTGGAACTATGACATACAACTATCTACTGGGGCTTTGGGGAAAAAAAAGGAGGAGGATTGGCAATAGATGTTAGCTCAGAGCCGGTCTTCCTCAGCAAAAAGAGGAGGATTAGCATGGATGTTAGCTCAGGGCTGATCTTCCTCACACACAAAAAAAAAAGTCTTCATTTTTCTTCCCCATCTCCTCAATCTTTATGCAGCCACTGCAACAGACAAGCCATGGTTGTTGAGTTGGGAGAAAGCAAAGGGACTGATGGGGTAAATAGGAAAAGTAAAGAATGTAAGAAGAGATTAAGGAGAACTCTTCAGAGGTATTAGAAACTGTTCAGAAGGAGAGGAATAAAACTAACATAATTGTCTCCTGATTAGTAATAATATTTCTTCTCCCACTGTCAGAAGAAATCATTTGTTGAATATCATAAATGCAAAAAAAAAAAAAAGGTCAAAACTTGCAGACCTGGAGCTGTCATCTATCTTTAAGATGCTCTGTACATTTCCACTTTGATCTAGTATGTGTTGATTTTTAAATTTAAATCTCAGAGTACAATCATAATTTTTTACTTCTAGTCTTTAGGAAGTGCATTGCTACATCCCCTAAGAAAAGGTTATTTCCTTAGGACATTTTCCCAGGAGTGGATAAATAAATATTTCCAAAGTATTTACAGAATAAAGGCTGTAACAGTTCATGTTTATACTACAAATTGTTCCTGCCAATAGATACATCAGTAAAAAAGGTTCTATTATAATCTCTCTCAGAAAAAAAAACAAGGATTCAAATTCCAGTTCCACTTTTACTAGCTATGTGTCCTTGTGACAGTCATTTAACATGGGGGGCCGGTCCCGTGGCGTAGCAGTTAAGTGCGCACGCTCCGCTGCTGGCGGCCTGGGTTCGGATCCCAGGCGTGCACCCATGCACCGTTTGTCAGGCCATGCTGTGGCGGCGTCCCATATAAAGTGGAGGAAGACGGGCACAGATGTTAGCCCAGGGCCAGTCTTCCTCAGCAAAAAGAGGAGGATTGGCATGGATGTCAGCTCAGGGCAGATCTTCCTCACAAAAATAAAAAAAGGAAGTCATTTAACATGAATGAGCTTAAGTTTTCACATCTGAAAAATGGAGATAATAAATCTATTAAATAATAAACTAGGGCTCTTGTGAGGATTAAGAAAAATATGTCACACAAGCATGTAATAAATAGTATTTCCTTCTTCCTTTAAAAGGTTTTATTTTGACATAACATCTCCCAGACTTACCCATAACCACTAAGATTTTCTGCCTAACTTAAATAAAACTCTCCTGAAAAAAACTTAGTGATGAAGGTCAATTTTAAAGCATTTCAGCTGACAAATAAGTTGTGACCTAGGTAATAAAATGTTTACATCAAAGGAACAACACAGAAAAAATTATCTTTCTGATATAAACTAAAAGCTACTTAAAAATTCTTTATTTCTTTTATTATTATATCTCATTTGCTCCAAATGGACTCTGAGGGAGCTTAAACATATAAAAATAAAATGAAGATACAAAATTATACCAGAAAACCCAAGCTAAAGATAGTTAGTATGCTTCTTGGCAACCAGGGTACAAAGGGCCTCTAACTACACAGCATGCTTCACCTAGTAATAGATCCAGCAAGTCAGCAGGAATACACTCTTCCTACAAGTAAATTCTAAGACCAAGTTATATTCACATGAAGATCTGAATACCAAAATAGAAAATATCTTCAATAGTAGTTTTACAAAGGCACAGAAGCATTCTTACATGATATAAATTAAAAAATCAAAAAGAAAGGGACTAGGGGGACAGAAGGAATGAGGAGTTATTGTTTAAAGATTTTATTTATTTTATTTTTTCCCCCCAAAGCCCCAGTGGATAGTTGTATGTCGTAGCTGCACATCCTTCTAGTTGCTGTATGCGGGACCCGGCCTCAGGATGAACGGAGAAGTGGTGCCTCGATGCGCACCCGGGATCCGAACCCGGGCCACCAGCATCGCAGCGCGTGCACTTAACCACCAAGCCACAGGGCCGGCCCGGAGTTATTGTTTAATGGGTACAGAGTTTCTGTTTTGCAAGATGAAGAGTTCTGGAGATGGTTGGTGGCGACAGTTACACAACAATGTGAACGTTCTTAATGCCACTGAACTGTACTATTAAAAATGGTTAAGATGGTCAATTTCACGTTATGTGTATCTTCCCACAATTAACAACAAAACAAAACCCAAAGAGAAAGAACTCTGGGATAAAATAGTGGAATGAAGCCTTCTTTACATAATCGCCTACTTCCCAACTCCCACTCAATATCAAATTAAAATGAAAAGGAAGAAAGAAAAGAGGGAGAGGAGAAAGGAAGGAATGTAAGTAGTAAATAGATAGGTTGGTTGGTTCTCCAGCAGCAAATACACAGGAAAAGCATAGCCCAAACTTACAAACTTCAAAAGCGATAGCCAAGGAAAGATATAGCAGATTCTGGAGAGGAATGGGGAAGGCCTGTTTGGCAAGGCTCCTAACTTGAATTAACAATTCTCATTAATATCCCAAATCTGGAGAGAAAAAAATTGAATGAATTCCATTATTTTTTCCATCTATGACTGGGAGATGCTACACACCTGTGGGAAAGAATGATTAAAAGTGAGAAGGAAATTCCAGGACTTTCTAGCAGAAGTGAAGATTCTAGGGCAGCACACCAAGGGCCTCCCCAACGGAAAACACAATACATTCTCCAGTTACAGGGAGCAAATCTTGACATGGTGTTGATGGGCAGTAAGAATGAGAGGAGGAACTTTTATAGGAAGATGAAAAAATATCAGGGCTGGCTAGCAAAAATTTAATAAGCCAAGTCAAAGTCCAGGAGTAATGTGTACAGGTCACCATGACCTACCGGAGAGACAAAAGAGGAGTGGAAAGCTGCAGAGTTTACATGTTTCCAACGCAAAAGCGAGGGGAGCCAAGAACAAACCTGATATGGAGAGTAAAGAAGTCACTCATACAACGTGTCAGCAAATAGGAAATCAGGGCAGAGCTGTCAAGCATGAGCAAGATGAAAAAGAACAAGCATGACAAAGAGACAAAGAAACTGAAAGAGAGATCAAGGGACAAAGTGAAAGAGAAAAAGACAGAATGGAAAGAATGTGGCATACAGGAGATCAAAGAACTCTGTCTAAAAGAAAAAACATAACCTAATGAGTGCAAAGACATTCTTCACAAGAGCTTCAAGATTTGGAATTTTTAGGAATGTGAATATAATAAACAAGAGCTAAAAGACGAGATGGAAAAACAACAGAGTGAGATAGAAAGGGAGTTTAAAAATAAAATAAATAGGGGCCAGCCTTGTGGCATAGTGGTTAAGATCGCGTGCTCCACTTTGGCGGCCTGGGGTTCACAGGTTCGGATCCCAGGCATGGACCTATGCACCGCTTATCAAGCCATGCTGTGGCAGGCATCCCACATATCAAGTAGAGGAAGGTGGGCACGGATGTTAGCCCAGGGCCAATGTTCCTCAGCAAAATTAAGAGGACTGGCAACAGATGTTCACTCAAGGCTAATCTTCCTCACCAAAAAAAATAAATAAATAAATAAATAAATAAATTGATGATCAAACATTTTTTATTATAGAACTAATAATTAAGAAACATAAAGGAAGACAATAGCCATAACTGAAAATAAAAGTGTGACACAGAAGGGCTAAGATAATCAGAGAACACAGATTTTTAAAACCGGGGATTAAATCAATCATAGTAAAATAAATAAAACTGGGTACAAGATAATCCAGCCTTAGGATAACTGGTGTCCCTAAAATACAAAAAGAAGAGCAGCAAAGCAGCAAGCAGACAGGAAGATAGGTAAATTCGTTCTCCAGTGGCAAATACATAAGGACAGAGAGACAAAGCCCAAAGCCACACTCTTCAAAAAGGGACAGCCAAAGAAAGACACAAAAGATTCTGAAGCGGAATGGAGCAGCCTTGTTTAGCAGTGCTCTTGCCTTGGTCTCACTTAACAGAAGCCATAGAGATGAATCAACAAAAGCCAAGAAAAATAAAAAGTATTCCTAGATAT